TCATTGACGGCATATGCGAGATTTTTACCATCGAAATATTCAAACGGTTTTTATTTATTTAATTATATTCACGTTAAAAAATATTTTCCGGGTGAAATAAAAAGAAAGAAAATTTTTTTTAAGGTGTTAACGAACCGAGAAGAAGCGTTAATAGAAAACCTTTACCATCACCAAGGATCGTGAGTAACGTTTTAATACCATCGATTGATAAGCAAGAAAAAATGATAACGTTGGCGTTTGTTCAATGGACTCAATTCATAGGAAATGATTTATTTCACACACCGTGTAATAAAATGAGTGAGTCGTTAAGAAAGTTATTTAATTAAATTAAAAAAAAAAAAACAATTTATTTAATTTTTTCTTATGTTTTTTTTTTTAGTTCATACGGAAAGACCAATTGAATGCTGTCATTACAACGGTAAAAATTTAAGTCCGAGATTTTTACATCCAATATGTCGTCCAATAACGATCCCATACGACGATCCAGATTATTCCGAAGAAAGAACAGTTTGTATGAATTACGTTCGTTCTTTAACTAGTTTAAATGAAAAATGTAATTTTGGACCCGCTGATCAGGTTAATCAAATTTTCCATTAATTAATTTATTTATTTTTACTTGGAATAATAATAAAAATCATCCGTTTGAATCAGATGAATCAAGCCACGCACTTTTTAGACGGGTCGATGATTTACGGGTCGACGTCGGAAAATGTTATTTCGTTACGTACGATGAAAAATGGAAAATTAGCAACTACGAATATAAATGGCGTAGAATTATTACCCGTATCTGATACGCCAGAAGATAATTGTCAGTTAAATGAAGAAAAAATTTGTTTCAAATCAGGTTGTTTTTGTTATAAACAATTTCACACACGCGACGAAAGAATATAATAATGATTTTTTTGTTTGTTAGGGGATTCGAGAGTTAACATGCATCCACATCATACTGCCATGTATACGATATGGGTTCGAGAACATAATAGAATAGCCGAATATTTATCGAAAATTAATCCGAATTGGGATGACGATAAGATTTTCGAAGAAACTCGAAAAATCGTTATTGCACAAATACAACACATCACGTACAAACATTGGATCCCACAAATATTCGGACAGGAAATAACACATAAAAATAATTTATTTGTTAAAACAAAAGGATTTAGTAACGTTTATTCTGAAAATATCGATCCGTCGATTCGTAACGGTTTTGCCGTGGCAGGTTTTGCATTTGTTAATTCAATGCTTAAAAGTCAATTAAGGTTGTACGATAAAAACGGTTTTCATAACGATTCTTTACTTTTAAAAGATTATTTTAATAAACCGTACCTTCTTCAAAATCCAAAAATATTCGAACAACTTTTAAGAGGGATGAGTTATGAAAAATCGGAAAAACTCGATGATTCATTCGTCAAAGACGTAATTATTAATAATAATAATAAATTGGGGGTTAAAGTATAAAAAAACCTGAATTTATTTTTTTTTTTTGTATTTTTTCCAGGTCACGAATTTTCTTTTCAAGGGATCCAATAGAATGGGTCACGATATTATGAGTTTGGATATCCAGAGAGAAAGAGATCATGGAATACCTGGATATAATTCATTTAGAAAATTTTGCAACATGTCTTCGGATGATAAATTTGATACCTTTTTGGATTCCATTCCGCCAAACGTAAAATTCTATTCGAATTTAAAAATTTTCTTTTTGTTTTTCACATTCTCACGATCGTAATGTTTTTTGTATTTTGCAGAATTTAAATAAACTAAAATCCATTTACGAACATCCGGATGATGTCGATTTGATTGCGGGAGCCATTTCTGAAATTCCAAAATACGGTTCGCGATTGGGTCCAGTTTTTCAATGCATAATAAAAGAACAATTTAAAAATACAAGAGAGGGCGACATTTATTTCTACGACATCGGTGGAAAACCTCATTCGTTTAAAGAAGGTAAAAAATAAATCGAACCATAATAATAATTTTTTTTAAAAGGATTTTCATCATGTATTTTATTTTTTTTCAAGGGCAATTAAATGAAATAAAAAAGGCAACACTGTCGAGAATATTTTGCGACAATGTAAAAGAAATAAAAAAAATTCAATTGGATATATTTAATGTTCCGTCAGTGAAAAATCCATTGTTTGATTGCGATGATCCAACATCTCCCATACAAAGACTCAACCTTAACCTCTGGAGATCAAAAGTTTAATTTTATTTAAAAACAAATACAAATACAACAAACGACAAACGCAATCGTTAAATTTTTCTTGGAAATTTTATTTCATTGAAAAAATGAAAATTTTTTTATTACGTTAGTTGGGGGAAAAAAAGAAAAAAGGAAAATCACTATCTACTGGAACTTTTCAATATGTTTTTCTCGCGTCTTTAAAACAAAACGAATTTTTAATTATTCCAGCTAATTTTTTGGAATTTTGGAAATCCTTTAGAATTAATTTAAATTTTAAAAAAAAAACAAAAAATTTTTTTATTTCAATCAATTTAAATTTCGAATAATAAATGAAAAAAATAAAATAAAAACGCCCGATTGTTATTAATTATGAAATTTTTAATACACGTAAGCATTTTTTTAATCGAATCAAAAAAAAATTTTTTCTTTTAATAAATTTCATTATTATTATTGTTGTTGTTGTTGTTGCCGGTTGTTGTTTAAATACACGTAAAAAAAAATTTACTTTTCGCGGTGGGGGGGCTTTGAATAAATTTTTTAAAAACATTTCAACAAAAATTTTGTATCAAAAGATATAAATGAAGTTAAATTAAATGGCATTTTTCTTTTTTTGAATGATTTGAATAGAACGTTTGAAATTGCAACGAATTTTTTTTTTTTTTTGATTTTAAATTAAACAATTGATTTGTTTATTTTTTTTTTTTTTAAACATTAAAAATTTTATTTCTTTTATATATATTTTTTGTTTAAAAAAAAAAATTTTATCGTCACGCATTAAAATGAAATCGCAAATTTTTTACAAAAAAAAGAAAAGAAAAAAAAAATAACAACAAAATTTTTATTATTAAATAATAGTGATAATGATAAAAAAAAAATCACACATTACATTGCGTAAGAAACAAAAATTGAAAACCTTAAAATAACAACAACCTTTAAATGACACACACAAACAAACACAAAAAACTCACGCGCACTCACGCACAACTAAATTTTATTTTATTTTTTTTTGCAATTATAATAAAAAAAAAAAAATCATAATAGTTTTTTTTTTCGAAGAATTTTTCAAAATAATTCTTACAAAATAATTTACGCTTGTAATGAAAAATAATAATAATAATAATAATAATAATAATAATAATAATAATAATAATAATAATAATAATAATAATAATAATAATAATAATTGTCGCGAGTTATGATACGAAACTCTTCCATAATATTATTTTTTATTAATAATAATGATATTTTTTTTTTGATCAGTTTTTCTTTTTAAAAAAAAATTTAAATTTATTATCGTATCAAAATTTTCTGTCTTGTCATCGTTCGATTACATATTCCAGGTAGAAAAAGAAAAAAATTTTTTTTTTAACCTGAGGCTTTTTTTGTTTTGTTTGTTGGGGGGCTTGCGGTTGTTTTTTGCATCAACAACAATTTTTTTTAAATAATATAAAATGGAGTAATTCCGTTTCCGATTTTTAATCTCCACACTCGATAATAATAATAGTAATAAACGTGGAAAATTTAATCAATGAAAAAAGGCTACAAAACAAACAAAAATTTTCTTTTTTTTTTTTTTTAACGATCAAATTTGTTTCATAACAATATTCGATCGATAAATTTTTTTTCATAAAATATTATCGATCCATTAAATTATAATTTATAAAAGGAAAATCAATATTATTATTATTATTAGGAAAATATAAATTTTTTTTATTTAAATAGGTGGGAAATATTTATTTAATTCAAGGACTTTTTTTTTTTTTTAAATTAATGTGTTACGATTATTATGTTTACGAGGTTGTGTTTGGTTGTTGGTTGTTGTTTGTTGTTTGAGTATTTTCAATGTCAGACGATCACTTATTTTATAACCATAATAATAATAATATCGATATAGTTTTTTTTTTAGTAAAAAAATTATGTATTGGACTTTACGTTAGGATTTTAGTAGTCTCCCCAAAAAAAAAATTATTATTATTATTATTACTATTTTATACGTAATAATTTTTTTTTTATACGAGTGTTAAACAACCCATCGTTTGTTGTTAATTAAAATGATGACACTTTAAAATCCAATATTTAGTTGTAGTCAATTTAATTTCAATTTTTTTTTTACAACCGTAAAAATTTAAATTATGTAATAATTTAATTTATTTCATAAATTTTATGTTTTTTATGTTTATGTTTGATAATAATGATTCCCTAACGCATATGTTTGTTTTTTTTTTTTTAACCAGGTGATTAAATTTCAAATATTATGAAAATAAATGAGAGAGAAAGAGAGAGAGGGAGGGAGGGAAAGAGAAAGAAAGAGTTAAAGTAAAATTTGTTGGAAAAAAAATCAAAAATGGAGAACCTGTAGGAAAATTACTTTTCTTTTGTTTTAAACAATTATTAAATTCTTTAAATAATTTATAACAAATATATATATATATATATATATATATATATATATATATATATATATTCAAGGTTATTTATTTATTATAAATTAATTAATAAAACCGACCGGTGGTTTGGGGGAGGGGAGTGAGGAGGGGAGGGGAAAAATACGGAATTTTATTTATTTATTTTTTATCGAGTATTAAAAAATTTTTTTTCTTGTTTTTTGTAAATAGTTAAAACGAGATTAATCGATTAATAACGAGTTTTTATAAATAATACTAAAATAAATGAATATATTTTTTTTCATTTCCGCTTTCCTTGATTTCGATTGTAATCGATATATCGAAAGAGAGAGAAAGAGAGAGTGAAAAACCGTTAAAATTTTTTTTAACTTTTTTTAAAAAAGGCAAAACCCGTAATTTGATTCCTTTTATGACGTAAAATTTTCGCCCTTTTTATTATTATTATTATTATTATTATTATTATTAAAATATATTACGTCATAAACAACAATTATTATTATTATTATTATTATTATTATTATTTTACTTATCAAATTTCGTGTCGATTTTGTAACTTTTTGTACCCGAAAAAAAAAGGAAAAATTTTTTTTTTCTTACAAGTAATATTTAAATTTCTTAAATGACATTTTATTTTATTACCGGTAATAATTTTAATTAATGGATAAATTAATTGATCATTTGTTAATATTTTTTTTTGCGGTCTGATTGTGATGTCATAATAATAATGATGATAATAATAATAATGATAGTAACATTCGTCCGAGACGGTAATTAATTTTTTTTTCATTAAGTGACACGATTCATATTTTACATGCAATAATTACCACCCCAGTTATAATAATAATAATAATTTTATTAATTATTACAGGGTAATAAATTATTTTTAAAAAAAATTAAAGTTTTTAAAAATCTATTTAAAATAATAATAATAATAATAATAATAATAATAATAATAATAATAATTTATTAAATTTATTAATTAAATTTTTTATTGTGTTCGTTATATTAATAAAAAATTAATTTTTTTTTTTTTTTATTAATAAATAATTACCTTACCTTCACGTTTTTCATTTCGATACATAAATTTACGTAATCATAAATAAATAAATAAATAAATAATGAATGGATCGGTAAGCGAAAAAGAGAGACGGAGAGAGACAGAGAGACAGAGAGAAGGAGAAAAAAAAATTAATTTTTTTTACGTTTAATAATTTATTATTATTATTATTATTATTATTATTATTATTATTATTATTATAAAAATGAAGTCATCCAATAAAATCGATCGCGTCATTATCCCCGTTTAAAAAAAAAAGAAAATGATAATAATAATAATAATGATAAAAGTGGGGAGGAAGGTAGGGTAAACGATTGTAAAATTCAAAGGATTTGTTAATAAAAACATTTTCTTATGCCACAGCGGATGTTATCAACTTTTGATTACTTTCACTTAAAGTTTAAATATTGTTAGACAAAGTTATAGTTTCATTATTATTATTTTGATTTTACACTTGTTTATACGCAAAATATTATATTTTTTATATTTTATATTTAATTTAAATATAAATAAAACTCGCGTAAAAAAAAAGAGACAGAGAGAGAGAGAAACTCGCGGGTGAGTTGTTTAAAAATTTTTTTTTTTTAATTAATAACAAATTTTAATTTTTAAATTTAAAAAAAAAAAAATTATTTTTTCCGATGTGATTTGTGTTGGTGGTGTGAACACACGTGTTCTTTTTTTTTTTCTTATGCCACGTGGGAAATTTTTTATAAATTTTT